AACTGCCTTTTCCTTTGTATTCAATGGAAACTGCTGGGCAATTCGCATTGTGTGTGGGGCACACACTCTTCACTGCCGAGTGACACTGCAGAGCGAGCGAGCAAGCAAGTGCCAGATTCATGAGGGACGCAGCCAAATTGGTGTTCATTTGTGTTGCCAGCGCATTTGTAGCACTCTGCAGCTTGGTAAATTAATCACGTTTTGCATTTTCTACGATTCCAAGCAAGAGAGCAACATCGACGAGGCGGCGGGCCACGTTGCCGCGTCGCCTTTAGCACCACTTGGTCCGTTATTCGCTGAATTGTCTCAACTCGCAGTGTTTTCGCTCTTTTGCTCTGTTCTATTTGCAGTGTTCTATGTCTTTTGCAGTTGTTTTACTCTGCTCGACAAAAGTGAGAGTGAGTGTGTGTGTGACTCGAATTTTTTCTCGTCTCGTCTGGTCCGACGTTGGTGCTGGTGCTGGTGAATTATGGCCGACTGGTGATAAAATTAGTTATTCATGTTCGGTGCAATTGCCTGCAAAGTGCTCTTCTCGTCGCCTTCGTTTGCCTAGCTAACCACCGCCAGAGCACACGGCACTTCACTTCACTTCACTTCACTGTTCAGCATTGTGACGTTCATTTCCCTCTCTTCCTCTGCATGTTTGCCGCCATTTGCTTTTTCTCTTTCATTTTTTTCCCTTCTCCTATCACTACTACCAACTGCTTTGGCGCTGTCGCTTTAGAGAGTGCCCCAAACTGGGCAATGTTAAGATAAATTAACAGTGTCAATTTAAAGTCGGAATAGTAGATACAGACTAACATTTTGCCTTGTTGTCGGACTGACTCATTCCTTTTCATTCGTCTATTTTTTGCTGTTTGTCTGTTTATGTCCACTAGCAGTTCAGTGGAAAAAGTTTCATTAGACTAGGTGGGTTTGTGCTTTAGTCTTCATCGCCATTAATGTCCCAACTAACAGTTCTAGCTAGTATTTTCCCACTACATTAATGGTGCGGTCGTCAGTGGTTCACTTTCTACCAGTCTTTTGACTGTCCTTCAAACCTATTCCCGGCTAGACTGACACGCCGGCAGTGCTCCTTTTAGTACCTTTTAGCAGCAGCAGCACTATTTTAAGCCTCTTCAAGTATTCAAGCCAAACCAGGGCCACTTGAGCAACGAGCAGAGAAGCTGCAGCACAAATTAATTACCTCACCACCATTTGGACTGGTCTTGGTTCTTTTTGTCTGTTGCAAACTGTCGCAGCACTATCATCTCAACGGGCCTGTCGTCACCCAGATTCAGTGGATCATTAACTTGGGCGTGTTTGTACTTGCTGGCCGTGCTGGCCTGGCTGGCCGACTGAGCCACTGGATCTGCACAATCTTTTGTTTCTGTCGCTGTCGATGTCGTTGTTTGTTTTTAGTGCCATTTTCTCTTCTTCTTTCTTGATGGTAGTGAGTTGGCAAACTTGGGTTGTGACTTTGAGGGGTGACTTGGAATGTGTGTGCAGAGGAATAGGACTGGAGATAGGGTAAAAATCGGCCGCCTGAGAGCAATGAATATCTGTGCCTGGGCTGGTAATTGTCTTTTTTTGCTGCTTTGCTGAGCTATTCTTGCCGGTTTGCATAATTGAGTTAGCTGGTAATAAATTGTTAATTAATTTAAATGTTCCAAACGAACGCCAATAGACGCTGTTGTGAGCACCTAGTGAGAGGTCATGCTAAAGAGGACATAGCCATAAGAATTACCCAAAACCAAAAGGATCGTTGTTCCTGGTAAAACTCTTCAAAAAATTCCAAAAAAAGAAAAATTTAATTTGCATTGTGTGTGACAATTAGTGGACGCGTGCTACGGCGACGACAATTAAAAGAGTTGCTTCAGTGCACCTAATGAGCTCTCACTCTAATTTTCCCCTTTACTTTTTTCTTTTCAGGCAAAATCAAATACTCTGAACGAATCTACGATGCCTGCATGGAAGCATTTGACTGTCTACCACTGGCTGCCCTCATGAACGGACAGTTTCTTTGTGTTCACGGAGGTAAGGATGTTCACTCTATTTTTCTCTACTTAACTACCTGACGTGCTAATGACTTAAACTTTGTTCAGGACTTTCACCTGAAATTCACACGCTGGAGGACATTAAAAAGCTGGACCGATTCAAGGAGCCCCCGGCATTTGGGCCGATGTGCGACCTGCTGTGGTCTGACCCACTGGAGGATTTTGGAAATGAAAAACCGAATGAAGAGCACTTTACGCACAACTCGGTGCGAGGCTGCTCTTACTTCTATTCATACGGAGCCTGTTGCGAGTTTTTACAGCAAAACAATTTGCTCTCTATCATTCGAGCTCACGAGGCACAGGACGCAGGGTATGAGCAGCAGCAGTATTATTCAGTGACAACAGCTATATTCTAATGAACCTCTTTTCTCGCTTTCAGGTACCGAATGTACCGCAAGTCGCTGGTCACCGGCTTTCCCTCGCTCATCACCATCTTCTCTGCGCCGAACTACTTGGACGTGTACAACAACAAGGCGGCCATTTTGAAGTACGAGAACAATGTGATGAACATTCGCCAATTCAACTGTTCACCGCATCCCTACTGGCTGCCCAACTTCATGGACGTCTTCACCTGGTCGTTGCCTTTTGTCGGCGAGAAGGTGACCGAGATGCTGGTGAACGTGCTCAACATTTGCTCCGACGACGAGCTCATCAACGAGGGCGAGGACATGGACAACGAGGCCGATGGTATTGTCCTGGGGCTGGTCCGCATGACCGTGACACCCTTTTTTTACTTGCTTTTATTTTCTCGCCTCACCTTCATTTGCGCCGCTTCTCCCGAGTGACTCTTTTTGCTTGCGTAGCTTGCCTAAAATAGCTTTGAGAAGCGCTTTTATCAATTGCTAATCTTCTGTCTAGTTAGTTAGAACAGAGCATAGTGTTAATGCCAGTCGTTAGTTAGTGATAGAAAAGTTGGCAGTTGTAAGAAGTAGAACTGTAAGAAGAGTCAGCAAACACTCAGGGAATAAAGAGAAAAAAGAGGCCATTCTAATGAAACCAAATACTAATGCGTCCTGTTTTCTTTCTGTTGTTTTTGTCACTGGTCAACGTTTACCATTTCCTCATTTGCTTCTACCATCCGTGCCAATGATCCCGACCAATCATACTTGCTCCTCTTCACTCTTCCTTGGCCTTCCTCAACCTCAATCACACCTACCTTGCCGCCGCCGCTGTGCTTTTCACACTTACAACTTTGGTTCCACTTGGCTTCAACCTTTGCATTGGATACTTTGTTCCGCTCAAACTCATTCCCATTTTTACTAACTTCCCGTGTGATCCTCTTCCTTTTCTCCCACTTTAACCACACCGAATGGTAACACAAAATGCGCTCACCTGTATATCTTTTCTGTGTCTTTCTCTCTCTTTCTTTCCCCTACGTGTTTCTCCTTTTTTCTCTCTTTTTTTGTTGCTCACCACCTTTCGAAAACACTCTACCACGAACCAATAGCAACAGCTCGCAAAGAGGTCATACGAAACAAGATTCGCGCAATCGGCAAGATGGCACGCGTCTTCAGTGTACTGCGCGAGGAGAGCGAAAGTGTCCTCCAACTGAAGGGTCTCACGCCCACTGGCACACTGCCGCTGGGCGCATTGTCCGGGGGCAAGAATACACTTCGAAATGGTAACCAGCAGTCAGCTTACTGTCGCAGTGCACTAATTCTCTTTCTTTCTTTACTTCCTTCCACCAATCTACTAGCGCTGGCTGGATTCTCGCCTAATCACAAGATTGCCAGCTTCGAGGAGGCCAAGGGTCTGGATAAGATGAACGAGAGGATGCCGCCAAGGAAGGAGGCACCGCCTCCGCCGCCAGGAGGTGGCGGATCGGCTGGCAAGAGCAGTGCACCGGCCGATGACTCCAGTGCGACTCAGTGACAAGCAGACAGGGCAGACGTTGACAGGAAACAGACTAAACAGAAGGACCTGCACTGACTGTTGCCTTGCTCTCTTTCACTCCCTCTCAATGGACAACACAGCAGTGCTGTTCTTTTCATCTCATCTCACTTCACCTCTTTACCCCTTCTGCCCCTCCCTTCCTTTCTTCCTCCTTCCTCTCCTCCTCCTCCTTCATCTCGCCACAACCCCTCCACAACCTTTCGCTCTCTCTCTCTTTCTCTCATCTTTGCACGTCAAGCATAGCATTTGCTGTTAATGACCAGCATAGGCCTCCACAACACCACTTCCAACAAGCACACACACATACCGACTTCATCAGCACTACCTTCTCTTTTACTTCTTCCTCCTTTTTAACTTCGACAACACCTCCACCACCACCACCAGCAATTCCTTAAGCTCTAACCTCTCCTTTTTTGACCTCACATTTAGCCATTATTAAACTTTTTTGTTTTTTTTTGAATAATAATCAAAAAGAATTTTCGCTATTCATTTTGCCCAAAAACTCCTGTTTTTATTTTTTTTCTACGTCAGTGCTTTCCAGTGAAATGTCAAATGTTATCTGCAGTTTGCCCTTTTAATTGATTAGCCAAATCAAACAATTAAATCAATTTACTCTTTCTTTTTTCTCCCTCGCCTATGTCTTCCTTTGGCTGGTCACAAATGGGGACAGGTGTGTCACTTACAGTACAAACAAAATCAGTCGTAGTAAACTTTCCTCCACTTTTACCCCAAACAATTTGTTGCTGTTTCAATCCTCTATTTCCAATTACACGGCACTACACACCACAAAAGCATTCGCTGCAATTAATGACAAGGCTGGTTTAACTGCCAATAACGGCGATCCAAGATCAAAAGTGAGCGCTAACTTACACTGCAAACAACTGCTCCTATTTCCCATTGATGCATTTCACTGTCTGTATGGTTGTGTGTGTGCCCAGTTAAAACCCACTCAACTTTAGTCCTGTTTCTCTCTTCCATTCTCTCCCTTGTTGTTCATTGGTTAACTTGGTCNATAACGGCGATCCAAGATCAAAAGTGAGCGCTAACTTACACTGCAAACAACTGCTCCTATTTCCCATTGATGCATTTCACTGTCTGTATGGTTGTGTGTGTGCCCAGTTAAAACCCACTCAACTTTAGTCCTGTTTCTCTCTTCCATTCTCTCCCTTGTTGTTCATTGGTTAACTTGGTCGACACACCCCCTGCAAATACTGATGCAATCACCACCAAAAGCAGTATTGAAAACACCAAACACTAAAACCAACAACGCTTCAAACGCGTTCTCTCTGATTGCTAATGCGAACTTTGTCACACTCTCTTTCTTTTTCTCCTTCATTCTCCTCCTCTTCTTACACACACCCCATCGAGCTGATCTTTTGATCGATCCGTTTTCTCTTCTTTATAATCTTCTCCTTTTTCCTACTTTAATGTTTCCTCTGTCACTGCAAATACACACACACACTACACTCCCTTTCTTCTCCCATTTGCCTGCCATTTGTCATTCTGTTTCTGCTGCTTTTCCCCTTCTTTTCCCTAGATCATTGACTATGAATTACAGTTTTTAATCAATTAACAAGCAAACAAACTCACACACAAACACTGTTTTGGGCGTATCTGATGAGAACACAGACTGGCATTTTTCTAAGTATACACACTCTCTTTTCATTCGACTTCTCAATTCACTACCACCACCACTTTGACCACATTTTGCACCAAGTCAGTCTTGCAAATATCTTGTTAGTTTGCTAACCTCTCTGTTTTTTATTGTTTGTTTTGATTTGTCTTCTTTTGACCTTACCTTTCCACCCCTCTCCTTTTTCTCTTTGATTTGCTTCCCACTCCCACCACATTTTTCCAAGATATGCTTGTGCTGTTTCCTCAAATAGTGAAAGCTAATCTTGATTAGAAGAGTGTGTGTGCTTGTGAATGCGCGCATCGGGCAAATCTCACTTCATCACTGAATCAGCATTCTGCCCATCCCTCATCAAATATCATCACTGTTTTCTTTTTCCCCTGTTTTATTATTTATTGCCGATTGTTTTTGCTAATATCTTTGTTGCCTGTACTATTATTATGCGTTTGTACACACCACTATTACCGTACCCTCCCCTCATCGCTTCCATCAACACCGTGTGAATGCTAACTAAATGTATGAATTTCTAATTAGCAGTCTGTCAGTAGTCACACCTTCCCCCTTTTTCACCACTACCACCACCTACACACTTCACTTTGCAAGTTGAGAGAAAATGCATATTTTCCGAGTCAGACTGACTGACATTCATCGAAACACCCCATCCTCCT